CCGCACGGGGAAGCCGCGAGAGGCTGCCGGGGCAGAGCGGGCGGCAGGGCAGCGCCGCGGGGCCGCCGGGGCACGTCCCCAGCCAAGGGCCACCCCCAGGCTTAAAGCGAGGAAAAAGGGAAATGCAGTAGCACAAAATGTTTCCAGCTGGCTAGAAAAAAATTCTGTCCTCTATGAAATAAGGCTGTACTCCTGCAGAGAGCAAACACGCTTTTAGCGGGAGAAAAAGAAATTGCGTTAAAACAAGAGACTCGGAAAAAACCAAAGAATTATCATGAATTCATCAATTTTGTATTTGAATGACTGTTTCATAAGTTTCATAATAATTTGATTTAGCGGTCTTTAATTTCTTCCGAATCTTTATGTTCTGAGAAATATCACCCTGCTGCTCATGTATAATTATCAGCTTCGCTTCGCTTCAAACGCATTGTACGATGATGACAAAAGTTATTTTTCTGGCTACCCTAAAATAACAGGATCTATTTCTTGTGAATTTAGGAGTCGATCCTTCTTGTTGCTATGGCTTCCAGTAAAGGAACAGGTTCCTCTTGCTGCAGAATAACAACATTCTTTGCAACAATCAAGTAAATTAACATACTCAATGAGCACAATTTTTCATTAAAAGGCAAAATACCATACCCAAATCAGCAGGGATTTTACTAGGACTGTGTCTCTTTTGGAAACATTGCATCTAGATTTAATTGTAGGAGCTTAAGTAGCATAAAGTCACAGAATTTTAGTATCACTGAGGCTGGAAGCAAAAGCGGTAGTATCATGTATTATTCTTGCAAAAATCTTGGGTTTTAAATACATCATTAGATCAAGGAACGGGAGGAGATGGATATATTTCTAGTTTTGAGTTCTAAAACTCTTTGCAAATCTTTATTCATGAAGTTGTTGGGGTCTACAGAGAGAAAACAAAACCAGCTGGTTTCCCTATAAGTACGCTAGGCTGGTTCATTAAAATTAAATATATTAATGACTTCTCAGTAACGCTGGGAGGCAGGGATGTGCAGGGAAGAGTGGCAATATCTGTACCTCTCTTTGCCGGGACCCCAACCCTACAATATTGGGGCCGCTCAAATTTTCAGTGGCAAAAAAAAAAAAAAAAAAAAAAAAAAAAACGGGAAAAAAAAAAATTTTTGTTA